CTGGCTCTCCCCCTGTTCTAGAATGTTCTTCCTCCAGGTAGCAGGGCAAGGCCTTCGGGCAGGCAGGGGCAGTCCCCCGGCCCCCGCAGAAGTAACTCGAGGGAACGTGCATATTCTGGAGAGCAGGGGACATCCCAGCCTCGCGCTTTGGGGTGACCCCTTGCCAAGGAGCCCTGGCGGAGGCGGGCCGCCCCCAGGGGCCTGGTCTGTCGTGGGCCCTCAGCAGACAGGGCAGGCCCGCCCTCGCGGAAGGAGGATGGGGAGCGGAGGGCACCCAGCCCCGCATGGGTCTGGCTGTCCGGTGCCGGGCGAGTGGCTGGGCGCGGGCTCCGCCCTCGGAATCCCGGCTGAGGCCCTGACCCCTGCGTTAGGAGGGGCTGAGAGGGCGCGGCTGGCCTTGCAGTGCCTTCTAGCGAGCTCCTCCAGACACCTGGACACCCGGACATCCGAGCAAAGGCGTCCCCCGTTTTTGAGCCAGGCCTGGGGACAGTGGCCCCCCGACCGGGGCAGCTCACCTTTCCAGGCCCCGCCTCCCCTACCGGCCAGCCACGGGCCTCTGTGAGCTGAGGGCGTCCATCAGTGACCGGGTGGCCGCTCAGACGCACGCACCCCTGCTTCAAGGGTCGCCTGTGGAAATGGGAGTCCACACTCCTTGGAGGACACTTGGCAAGGCCCGCAGTCCCGACCCGGCCCCCGGGGCCCCCCAGGGGAGGAAGCGGAGTCGTGTCCACTGCTCGCCCTGCCCTGGCCACATGCTCTGTGGGGCTGGGGGTGGGGCGGAGCCTCTCTTGAGCCCTGCAGACGGGAGTGAGCACAGGGCGGGCACCGTGGGGTGAAGGTGGCAGTGGGGTGAAGGTATTGTCTCCCCTTGGGGCTTGCTCTTCCCCTCATGTGCAAATCCTTTCCCACCCCCCATGGTCCGCTGAGTCACAGGGAGCTGCGGGAATCGGGGTGCAGCCCACTTTAGAAAGCTAGAATGAGTAAGCGGCCACCTGCCTCTGCCCCTCAGCCACACCTTAGGGGTGCTCTGAGCCGTCCCTGGCTCCCCAGCGTGACTGCAAGCTCAGGAGAAACATGATACAGGGCTTCAACTCCACAGAGGAGGCCTAGTGGCCTGTCCCCCAGCAGCCGGGGACCAAATTCCAGGGAGCCCACAGCCCCCGCCCGCCAGCCCCTGGGCGCCTGCACCCCGCCCACGGCCCGGCTTGACTTGCGTTCCTTCTGGGGAGACCCCGCCAGGTGGGTACTCCCAAAACTGAATCAGAAGTTCTTGTACCTCTGATCCGCCCGCCAGCAGCCGGCCGCTGACCGCACCGCTGGGCTGGAGCCGCTCTCCTGCCCACCCCACCTGCTGGCCCTGGCGACCCACGCTTCCCCTCTGGGCCAGGTTCTCTGGCCCCGCCCCCGGTCAGTGGTCAGCGCCAGGGCCTGCAGGGAGGGGCTGGAGGCTGGCGCCTCCTGGGGGCGCTGCCCACAGCGCAGTTCACCCTACAGCGCCCAGAGGGAAGGCCACTGTGGGGAGGCCCTTGGACAGACGGGGCGGGGTGGCAGGCGGAGGTGCAGGGCAGGCTGTGGGCCAGGCTGTTGGCCAGCCGCCCCTCTGCCCTTGGGGTGGCGCCCTGCGTGCAGACGCGGTCTTGGTGTCTGGCTGTGCCGGGCCTCGGGGTGCTGCGGGCTGCCGCAGGCCACCCGACCTCGCTGCTGAGCCCCCTGAGTCACGGTGTGGCCTGCCCGGCGGATGTGAACTTGTTCGGGCAAACCCCTTCTCCGTGGCAGCGGCGGGAGG